ACAAATAATGTACAATTAAATCCTACATCTGTACCTATTTGTCAAGAGAGAACTGTAGTTACTCCAAATATGCAGGCTATAAATTTAGGTAATGTTGGTAATATAGCTAATATTCCAAATGTTGGAAGCTTGGCTAATATCGCAAATGTTGGAAGCTTGGCTAATATGGCAAATGTTGGAAGTTTGGCCAATGTTGGCTATCAGTTTGTACCAAATACTGGCAATGTGAATGTACCAGTTCGTCTACGAAGAAATATTCAGAAGAATTTCGGTGGTCTTTGTAATTCGGCAATAACATATGATTCAACGCTTTTAGGACTGTACTAAATTATAGCTAGATAGTTAAATAATAATTTATTTATATTATTTATTCTATTTGTAATTTAAAATCGTAGATTTTTTTTAATTTCGGAAACTTTTAAATAAAGTAAACACTATTTATTCCAACAACTTTTATTTTCTCCTAAATTCTTAATAAATTTTTCTGTTTAATGGCATTAAAATAAAAATATTCACCATCAAATTAGTAATATAACTTTAAACTTAAGTATACTTTGTGCTTCAAAATGGTTCTATTAACTTATTTATCATTCCATTGTGTTCTTAAACAAAGAACATAAGAAAAACAACGTGATATAAACATATTTAGCGATAAAGAAAATATATAAAGGATAATATACAGTGGATTCCTGTCCTAGTTTATATTTTATTTTTTAATCACGATGACGGTTAAGTTTCTTTTAGTTTGTCTTTTATGTGCTTGTGTGAGTAAGTGTAAATCAAGTATTCCTATTATTTTAACCATATTCTTCCTTAAATCCCCAATTTCATAGAAAAATTCGCTAAAATAATTTCCTACATCCAATACTTCATTTGCAATAATTGTTTTTGTTCATTAATCTATCATAAAAGTCTAATTTAACCTTTTTTTTGGTTTCACTATTCGTCGCACGCGTCTCTGTCCGCGCGGAATTAAAAAAAAAATTGTAGCCTATTTGTTCTTCTAGACTGTGATCTACATTTATGCCAAATTTCATCGAGATTCGTTAAGCCGTGTTGGAGATACCTTCATACAAACATCCATTCATCTATCCATCCATCCAAACATTTGCATTTATAATATTAGTAAGATTAAGTTTTTCCATAAATTTATTTTTGATATTGACATTGCTCGCTTTGGCTACCTATTTATTTGAGGTTAACATCAGTAAGAATTTTTTATATAAAAAATACCTTTATTACAGTTATTGGAAATCACTTCAACGACGTTACTTGAGAGGGCAAAGAGAGTCTGTAAGCAAGCGGCACATAACTGGAAACTAATAAATTCACATTCAAATAAAAATAAGTTTACTAGAAATATGCCACTTCAAAGGAGAGTTATTCCAAAACCTTTGATGTATGGAGGACCACATTACCTGGACGTGAAATGTTACTTGAATATCAAAGAAAATTTGACTAAAGATGTAAGAAGTTGCTTTCAATAATAAGTTAATTTTATATTTACAATAAGGTTTAGTAAGGTCACTTTTTTCAGATCGAAGAAATACAAACTGAGACGAAAAATAATAAATTTAAACTTCTCCATAGAATCAATAAAACTGATGAAGTAACAGATTACGATTTGAACAGTGAAATAGAAATGATTCAGGAATGTGATGATTTTGATGAATTCTGTGATGTTTTTGATCTTTTTGATTTACCGATAAACACAGATGATAGCTTATATTATTGTGATGAGGAAACATTGATTTAATTTTAATAAATTCAAAATTATTCCAAAAAGTTTTGTTTAGATGATTTATTTTTTATTTAGTTTAATAACTGGTTGCAAAGAAAAAGAATTGCTGATAAATATAAATTATAACTTAATAATGCATTTTAAAATTAGCAATTGAAAATAGATAGATACTGAAGTAGAAAACACAAGTCAATTCTTTAAACGTTTTAGCAAAAAGTTTGTAAGTAACATTTTCTTTTTAATTTTCAAAAGAAGCATTCCAAATGAAATAAATTTTAAACTTAATAACAATAAGAAATATTTCTTAATATATTTATCTAATATATTTTTACACAAACAATGATAGAGCCAGGAATTATTTTTATTGGTACATTTCGATAGGAGTTTTAAGCCTATTGTTTTCAGTCACGTCTTTATATTGAAGGTATACAAGCTACGTTTTATAGTTTTGCTTCTTTTATTTATTTAACAAATATTGCAATAAATATACACTTATACGCGTAAGATTTTTACTTATTTAAAATGTATCGAGTCTATTTTCCAATTTCAAATAAAAATACGTATAGATACATCTACGTATCATTCATGTATTATAAATAAATTCACCGTATAAATTGTGTAAACAGACAGACAAACATAATGTTAGTTTATATAGGTTATCCTTCAAGGTTATAAGGATAAATGAAAATACGAGTATATAAATAAGTCATAAATAAATCGTGTAACATAATTGCAAACTTATGTGTGTAATGTACTAATTGTTGAAATGCGTTTAACAAGATTTTTGTGCGTTTTTGTGCAATTATTATTATTTAGGGTGAGTTTCTTACAACGTGAAATTTTATCTTTATTTAATTGTGTCTATTTTTTAAGGTCATATATACACATTTACTAAGGAAGTAGAATAATTAACTATGTTTTGATTTACTTATTATATTACTCTAAGAGAATATATTAATAATAAGAATCGAATGATATAAATAACTCTGGGTAAATTTTTATAATAGGTATAAAAAAAAATTACTCCTTGTTTTTTTTTTTAATTTTTTTTGGTTTAATTTTACAACTGCAATTATGACGATTACATAATACATTCAAATTTTAGCCATGTAATTTAATTTGGGTCTTAGGATGTATTCGGGATTTGTGAAGAAATAGAATTTATACCAGAAGGTGAGATTATTGTGACCGGGGACGATGTTATCTTCGACGGTGTCACTGAGGTGGAGGGAAATGTACCGATGAGTGGCAACGTGGTGTTTGAAGGACCTGTACGAGCTTCAGGAACTGTTACTATAGTTGGAACATGTAAGATTATATAATAGCATTATTTCTTTTTTATAATTTTTGTCAAAACTTTAATTTAACAGTGGTAGAGCCCGCTTTAACATCTTCGCACGAATTGTCCCGGCTCGCCAGGTGAAATATCACGACCACACAGAAGACAGGCGTGAAGTGGAAGCAATTCCGCGTTTCGTCTGATGAGTGTGCGTGTCGGAGGCCTAATTTAGTCCTCTTTCCCTTCCCACCCTTTTTCTTATAAGGAGAGGATGGGAAGTGGAAGTGGACTTTCCGGATGAGAGGATGGATGGAAATATTTTATTTCTGTGCATCCTCTCCTCCGTCGATTAAAGGTAGGCAACGCATATGCAATTGCGTATGTCTATGGGCAACGGTCGCTTCGCTATTTCAGCGATTTTAGGTGGCTGCTCGCTCGTTTGCCACCTCATGATATAAAAAAATATAGCATTCGAATTTGAATTTGAATTTGGAAAAAATTATGTTTTTTTTTAAACTTTGTGGTTAGAGTATCATCCTGCCAATGTTAAGTGTTGATCCCCTATTATAAAAGATCGAGGGGAGGTCGGGGAAAATAAAAATGTATGGAATCTCTTTCCTTTAAATGTTTTAAACATATTATGTAATAAATTGTCATATTCATAAAAACTGCTGCTGCAAATTTACGGGTTCGCTTTTCTTTACTAGATACCTTTCGGTTTGCACAAATCACTTTTTATTTTTCAGCACGACCAATGCTACCGGCTTTTGGGTTGGGACAAGCCGGTGGACCAATGGTGATGCCGAATTACTGCATACCATATCAATTATTACCAAATACTTGGTACGCACCGGATGATGTGATGGGATATGGGAATATTGAAGTATGTGGTGAAGATTTACCGGTGATTGGAGAAACATTACTTGAAGGTACGTTACCAATGGAAGGTAATGTTACCTTTGATGGTGAAGTGCCCGCTTACGGTAAAGTAACGATTGTGGCTAGATTCTAAAGAATACCTCGCCTGGTCTCTGTATTCTAAGACAATATGTACACTATCAGATTTTTGTATTAACAAATATATTTTTAATATTACGAAATAAAATTAGCTTTTTTATCTTCTCTTATTTTGAGTTTAAGTTGACTTACCAGTGTCTTTTGGACAATATTGTTTATTTTGACAAGGAATTAAATTAATACTTATTTGTTTTTTTAATATAATTAATTATTCAATATTAATTGACAAAAACATCAATATCAGAATAGAATAAAATCGGCTATTAATATCTCTTAAAATAAGAAATAGGAATAAATTTATGATAAATTTTTGTAGCTTTTTGCTGCGGAAATGACGGCTATGATCTAGAACCAGAGGATGTTGCTGTTGACAACGAATAGAATAACTTAATGCAAGAAATAATTAATAAATAGTTACACTTACATTACTGCTTATTAATTATTCACAAAATCAAGAATAAGTTTGTTATCGTCTATACTAGATTATGGATAAAACGAAGTACGGTCTTATTGCATAAGAAATTACTTTTAGGATGATAAAATTAATAACAAGCAGTGTTTTTAATAATTATAATCTAACCTAACCGAATTATCAAATATAAAAGTTACAAATTAGAATCGAATTTAAAATAAATCCGCGACCTAAATAAAAAACGGACTGTATTAACTGAAATTAAAATGCCACCAAATATTTATATTTTATATTTTCTGATCCCATATTTCAAAACAAATATTTTGACATGTTAAGATACTTATCACGTATTGGTAAAATTAATAAATTGACATAATAATTTGTCAATATTTATTCAATCATGTAATTCTTTATCAATATATTCATCAAACTTCATAAAAGATCACGTACCAGCATTTCTTATTTTAATGATAAAAGTACATAAAAGATAAAAGATAAACATTCTATATAAGTAAAGAATCATTTTAAAGCACATACTCATTTATCGTTTATCGTCACTATCAAGATGAAGCACATATTTTGTTTATTATTCTTCACATTAGTGAATGTAAGTTAAATTCATTATAAAATCTAATCTAGTCATACTAAGTAAATTAATTAGGAAAAAGTGGATTTATACTAAGACTATAAATTTGTAGAATTGCAAAACCCACTTCAAGAGTCTCAAATTTATTAATTCATAAAAATTCTTTAACATTTCTATCATTTTATCTTATCCTTTACAGGTTATCTCAACGCAAATGGTCCCTTATCCAATGACTGGTGGCAGTGGAATAGGAGCAGGTTCATCTCTTCCAACCCTTATAGGCAGTGGACCTATGGCAGGCCTTGGTATACAATCATCTAATAGTCCAACAACTGGATATGCCTATACTCCTAATATGGCTGGCAGCTATATGTCAAATCCAAATTTAGCCAATGCAGTCAATGCAAATACAAACTTAGCTAACATGGAACTTGCAGCTGGAATAGCTGCTCAAGCAAATTCACCAGCAAACACAGCTAATGTTAATGCTGTAAAAACAGCTAATGCTCTTCTGGCCGCTGAAAGCGCAGCTATAAACGATGCTTTAACGAATCTTGAAGAAGCAAAACAATTGAGTAATTTATCACCTGTTTTAAATGGTAATATGGCTACATTTTATTTAGGTAATAGCGGTAATGGATTTACTGTTACTAGTGGTTCTCCTGGCACCCAAGGTATTGGTGTTCAAGTGTTGGCCGATGCGTTGGAAGTTGGTGGAACAGTTGTTGTTAATGGTAAAATACCCATTTACGGAATGGTTGGTATTAATGGTAATATACCAACAGATGGCATGGCATCAGTTAGCTACAGTTGTGCAAATCCTAGTACATTATTATAATTCAAAATGTAGCTACTAAAATTGTATTTATTTATTTATTAGCTTTAGAATAATTTAAATGTTTAATATTTAACCGTGTGTTTCGATGTTGAATAAATGATTTTGAAATTGAAATACAGATATTCATATTTCTTTTCATCCTATTAATACCATTTACGATAAATAAACCAGTTCTTCACCACGATCCTACTTGATGTTAAGTTTTGATATAGGCTACAGATCTTAGTCGTAGCTTTGAGATGTAAAGAAGATAGATTGGTTATTAAAATAAGTGTTCGGATATCGTAAAAACCGAATATCTTCTTCACGTCTTCTTAAGATAATAATGACTATCGCTTGTGTACATTAATTGTTAAAGCTGCTACGTACTTTTTTAATAAAGTAATTTATCTTCAATACCTTAATTATGTACATCGTCTTATTCCTGAAAACTTCGAGTCTAAGTAAATTGGGTAAACTCGATACATTAAAGGCGAAGTTTGAGCACAAAACTAACTGCTAAAGTGATCGATCGATACATCTAATATTTGACTGTTATAAACTCTCTCGATTAATAAATGTTATTTGTAGATCCGAGCAATATAATTTATTTTACGTTACATTTTTGATGTTTTTTTTATTATCTTAATGAAAGAATTAGAATTGGACTTTTTGAAATACGCATTATAAGGGTTAACGTCGACTCATCAAATCCTCGCCGCCTCGGCACCAGCCCCCCTTAAAATAACGTCACTGATGGAGCGGGATAAAGATATAAATTTCTTAGCAAAACCATGTCATTCTATTTTGCACGTGTTTATGGCGCACGTTCCGCGAGGAGGAAGCAAGGCGTTAACTCGACATCAACTCGACCACCCGTGCAAACGAGAATGATGTATCGCAATTTTATATCATTATCCCGTGAGTGAACAGCGTAGCGAGGCTGTGCCATGTGAACGCAGACTGGAGCAGCGAGCGTTAACCTTAAACACGGCATTTGCGGCACTTTTAACTTTTCATGTCAGTGATATTCCAAATGGAATAGGTTAAGTATGTATATCTTTTGCTTGTACAGTCAGGTAGGGTAATTTTCATTTTAGCCGGAATATTGTGTTTGCAGTGTTTGTAAAAATCAAAATAATTATTTTTCTAATAAATAATATTTTATTTGAATGTACAGTAAAGTTATAAACATAATTTTCAGTGTTGTTTATTTTTAAGAGGCTGTATATTTCGTAAATTTGATGAATTGAGGTAGAGCTTTGTTCCAGTTTAATTTTTTTATGTTAGAATAAATCATGTAAATCAAAAAATACCATCTATCGGGCACTTTACATAAATGTCGTCAAAAATAAATTTAAAAGTCCTCCATATTACAAATACATTAAAAATCAACAACCTCTCAAAATAACAACATTTTAACAAAAAATTACTTAATAAATAGTTGGGTTCGAACATCCACAGTTACTTGCTAGCGTGACTGTACCTCCTGCCGGTACAGTTCCTTCGAAAGTGACATATCCTATTACAGGAACATTTCCCGTAACACCTGTAGATCCACCGACTGGTAATTCACCAAGTACAGTCACATCACCGTATCCCATTGGTGAAACGCCAGACATTGGTACACCACCAAGAGAGAATCCTTCCAAACCTGTCACTCCTGCAGTAATTGCATTTGCTGTATTAATAGCAGCTGTTCCAGGAACAATAGTTTCGCTTGGTATTGTAGCATACATTGGAGCATTTGTTATAGGACTAGCCATTGATAAAGTAGATATTCCATTTATAGGATTGGATGCTATTGTGTTTGCGATCGGTGTGTTAGTTAGTCCATAACCATTATTCATGTTGGTATAATACGGAGAATTAGCAATGACTTGGCATAGAGATATCTGAAAAGAGTTAATTCGTTTGTTACTTATTTAAATATATCTAAAAAGTATAAGTATAGTATATATACATATTTAGCACTTTAGTTGACTATTGTTGAATATTGCAATAATTTTTTTTGAGTTTTTTTAGGAATAAAGATGATTTTTTTTTAATGTTTTTAGTATAAATGAAGAAAGACATATTCTTACCTGAATTATAGAAGCCAGAAAACAAATGAACACAACTTTTGTCATTATAGTAAAATTAATTATTGATAAAATAATTTATTAATTCAAAGGAATCACGAATGAAAGTGATCGTATGAAGCATGTTAAATGTTTTATATCTAGCAGATTTAATGTATTGCATAATATTGCAGACCCTACGTGATATGAAGTAAGAAAATATAAATTGTTGAAGTAACTGTAGATTGTAACGTAATATTTTGAAATCTTTAAGATTTATCATTAATCAAAGATAACAATATCAGTCTTTATTTTTGTTGTCGTCAATGACAGGCCCTGAGGGCTAGGGCATACTCAAATTAGGGCGAGCGGCATAGACCTAGCTATGGCGTAGTGCGGGTCTATTGACTTCATACATATCTTCGAATTTCTTTGCAAATATGGTCAGGTTGTATCACGATGTTTTCCTTCATTCTAAGAACGTCGGATGTGCAATTCGAAAATTGAAAAACACATTGGTACATGGCGGGTTCAAAGATATAATAGTAATATTTTAAGAAAATTAAATTACAAGAATAAGTTATTATAAAAAGTTTTTATTTCATCATTTCTTTTTAAATACGACATCCACAACCACGAGCACCAACACGTCTTGCGTTCCCAATTGTGGCAACCTCCTCCACAATTCCTACATTACCATTACCACATCCATAAGCAACAGTACCTCTTCCCGCAGTTGGTAATTCACCTTCAAGACCAACAGTTCCCACAAATGGTAGTATTCCTTCCACAGCTAATGTACCTTCGAACCTATTCTCTGACAATACTGATAATCCAGTTGGTGGTATAGGAGAACCAGTTGTCACGATGAAGTCTCCACCGTAAGAACTTGGCACTTCTTCCGCTATAAGCAAGTCAGGACAGGGACTGCATGGAATAGCAGAAATTGCCTAATAATTAAAAATAATTATTGGAGATGATGTGATGACTTGATATTTATATTTGACTGAATGTCTAAGGAACTTAAGTAAACTACTAAGAAGTATGTACAACTAGCGCCATCTATTATAAAAAAAAAGAATGTTACTTAATGAAGATTAGCTATGCTTTAACCTTGAACATCTCGAAATAATAATCCATATGTTCAAGGTTCGATCAAGGTCAAATGTATGGAAGCAAAAAATAAATATTAATTTACCTCGATAATGAGAACAACTTGAAGAATAACCAACGGGAGTCCTTTGATTGCCATTTTTGTTTGAGAATCGAATTTAGAATGATCCTGGAAACGAATGACGAAGCTTTTATACGAAGCAGATTTATTAAAAATTAGAAAAAAACCTTAAATATCAACTGGATAAGAAAACAATACAAGTACAGACGTAAACACAACAAATGTATACGTGACATGGCACATTCTTTTGTTATCTGTACAACCACGTGGTTAAAGGCCTAACTATAATTGACGTATGCATAAGAATTCAAGGATGTATCAGATTTTTTTTCTAACAAATATTATTTTAGATTTGAGAAAGGTGCATAATATTTTTGAATGTTCCTTTTTATTAAGGTCTGTAAGTATTCTTAGGATTTACAAATCATGTTATAATAGTCTTGTAGTCTATTAAAATTCATACTATTATATTATCTGCCAATTACCTCTATTCCTTTGTTTAAAGTGATAAATTAATTTGAAGTAGCATGGTCGATCTATGCAACTATTATTTTCAATCCCTTGCTCTCTTCCAACTTCGACACAAGACGGCTGCATTTGAATAATTGAACTTGGAGTGTTCTCTTATACTTGATATTTCTGGACTTCCTTGTTATTAAAACAATGAAATTTATCAATTCAAAAAATTCAAATATATTTCAAAATTAACCTTGACTTAAAAATATGAATGTCACGTCTTTCAACATAGTATGATTGTGAAATACAAGTGTAATGCTATTCATTATTAGGGCTTGCTATGGTTCCGCAATTTAAAAAAGAATCATTGCCTTATATAATATTTAAATATAATTTTATTTATCATCAATCTACCATCACTTAATATATCATTCAATTTGGAATTAAAATATAATAAGTTAAGACATTTATGCGAATAGAGCTACAACATTGCTACGAGTATGCTACGAGATGTGCTACGAGATATACTACGAATTGAGCTACGAAACTGCAAATGATACTGAGTTACTTATCCCCCATAGTTTTCGTAACATTTAAACTTTTCCTTAATAATTTAAATGATAACTAGATAAAACTGTAAAGACCTAAATATATATAAGACTTGTGAACTATAAGGAGAAATAAAAAATAATGTAATAGTACAAAATCTTAAAATGAATATTCCCCTTGTATTTATTATTTCTAATATCCTATTCCTGTATTATTTTCAGTTTGACCATATTAATCTATGTTACAAGTTACTTTGAAAATCGAAAACAATGTCATAATTTAAATATAATTATAACTTTATAAAATAACCAAAAGAAAAGATAAAAATAAATTGAATGAACTGTAATAAGGTTATTGATTTATTAAGGGTCCCTAAACAATAGGCTGTTAAGATAATAAAAGTTTGTACTGACAATAAGAAGTATAAATAGCGGAAGCTGCGAACTGAAAATTAATCGGAAAAGTCTTCGTGAGGTTAATAAACATGTCTACATTCACTTTTGTATTTATCTGCATTCAAGTTCTCTTGGTTCAGGTACTTTTTGTTGTTTTAATATTATTTTAGTAATATTGTATTAATATTAAAATTTAAGAATTGTCTTTTTAATACCAATCGAAATATTAGAACTGCAATTTTAATTTTTTCATTTATTCGCCTTATAACATACAAAATAATTTTATACGTAATGTTTTTTTTTTCAAACTAAGATCTATGCTTGTGCTAGGACATGGTTTACGTCGAATGGCGGAATTCGAACTTCCGACCCCGTAATCGGAAAACCGTACCCTTAACTATTCGGCTATTGACGGCTTTTGGTTTAGTTCTCTTTGTTTCCCTTAGTGCGATTTTTTTGTGTTGCTGAATTCTTACTAGGCTAAGTACTTCTTTATGTTGATCTTCTTAAGTTCAAATACAATTTTAAATTAATGACATTTTATGTAATTTCAGAATGCATACAGCGCTTGTCTTGGCGCTGCACCTGTACTAGAACGTGGTTGTGGCCGTGGAGCTGGTCTTGGTCTGGGATATGGCGGTCTTGGGTACGGTGGTCTTGGGTACGCTGGCCTCGGGTACGGTGGTCTCGGATACGCTGGTCTTGGGTACGGCGGTCTCGGATATGGCGGTCTTGGTTGTGGTGAGGCGTATGGTGGAGAGGGTGTAGGTAATGTAGGTGTGGCTGGTGAAATGATGGTCGCAGGTACCACCGAGGTCGCTGGTCAAGTACCGATCATGGGTGCTGTAGAGTTCGGTGGTCGTGTGCCAGCAGGCGGCACTGTTACTATTACAGGAAGATGTGCCGGTGGTTGCGGATGCGGTGGTTACCGTTATTGATTCAAATATTGGCCATTTTTATAAAGTGTATCATTTGGTTTGAAATATTTGTACTATTTGTTTGTATTTTTTCTTCCATATGTATTTTTCCTAATAAATATTTTGAAGTGCGAGATTGAACTTTATTTTGTATCCTGCACGAATCATATTTGTTTTTTAGTTCTGAATTCAAAGGACGACTTGATGACTATTAGAAGTTACGCTGCTTTCGTAATTTTTTTGTGTTAATAATTATATAGAAGCTAGCTAAAACCTCTGAAACTCTCAATTTGTCCCAAGTTTTTATAAAAAATATTAAAATATCATCAACGCCATTATTTGTTTCTCTGTTGTTCTTCAACCTTAATAAATTCTATCTTCGATTTGATTTGATTTTATCATGTTATTTATCAAAATTTGCATTTCAGGATAATACAAAATCTGCTTTTCTATTAAAATTTGTTATTGTTCAATGAAAAACAAGAAAAAAATACACCAAATAAATTGAGAATTTTATAATTATTTAAAGTAAAACTATCAATAGATTCCGCAACCACATCCACCGAAGGCACGTCCAGCGATAGCGGGACCGTAGCCGATTCCGGCAGCGAGGCCGGGTCCGTAGCCCAAACCAGCGGCAGCGGGGTAGCCCCAAGCAGGACCAGCGATGTCTTCGCTCACCATGCCTACGGCACCGTTGCCGCAGCCGAAGGAGACGGCACCAGCACCAGCGGTAGGTAGAGCACCCTCCAGACCGACGGTACCCAGGAAAGGAAGCTCACCGCCGACAGCTAGGATGCCTCCGATCTCGTTCTCAGAGAGAACGGACAAACCGACAGGTGGGATGGGGGAAGCACTGGAGGTGGGGAATCCACCGCCGCTGGAAGTTGGGACGGCGGCCAGACCGCATCCGCATCCGGCTCCGTAACCAGCCCAGGGAGCGGCACCGAAGGGAGCTGCGGCCATCAAAGGAGCTTCGTAACCCAAACCAGCGCCGCAGTATGCAGAGATAGTCTAAATCAATGAAAGTACATAAATTAGGTTTTATTTTGTTAACATTAAAAAATGGTATAATTTATTATAATTATTCTGGTTTACTCACCTGGACCAAGAGAGCTTGGGCGCAGAAAAGGACGATAGTTTTGGCAGACATGTTTATTGTGTTTATGAGAAACAAGTGTAAACATCAATGACATCGTATGGTATTTATAGTGCTGTAGGTTATGTGTAAGCACAACTATTGAAATTATGAACATTGTGAAAACCCTTGTAATGCTTGTTTTTTTTATAATCGTGTACGTGTTTAACGTTTTTTATTATAAAAATTGACACTGACAATGGATCACTGCCTCACGTTTTCTTATGTATTTATGTCGCAATTATTTCATTTAGTAAGAGAATTGTAAAATACCTATCTGTGCATCCAATAAAATATTAGACGATTACAAAGAATTTGGTGCATGTTCATATTAAAATGGTGGCAGCCAAATTTCGAACATATGGTGTAGTATGAGAGTTGTACCAGTCCAATGATAGACAAAGACCTTTCCTAATTCCTTCCATAGTATTTTGTTAACCGTGGGTGTTTGAGATCAAAATCTTCGTTTAAAACATTTTGTTATCTCTATTTTATGATAGAAAGTCACGGTTAAGGATTTATTTATAAATTAAAAAAAATATATATTGAAAAAGATTAATTCTTAATTACTCTTAACCATCGTTAGCTTTTGTACTTGGTAATCCAATAATATTGAAAATTGAACGTAATAATATAATTAACAACTTGACAAACCAAAGAAATATAAATATCAATAAAGGGAAACAACTCCGTTAAGTTTATTAGTTCATTAAGGGTAATATAAACAATAGATAAAAATAGATTGTATTGAATAAAATAATTATAAATAGAGCAAGCTGTGAACTGAATATTACAGGTAAATCGGTAATGTCTTCCTAAAACAGTTCTCCTTTTACTTTTGCTTTCGTCTGCATTCAAATATTTTTGGTTCAGGTAATTTTTTTGGTACCAGTATTAGACTTGTAGTAGACTAATATACTAATGCATGTTATGTAATATATTTCTATGTACTGTTTTTTTTATTGATTAAGTGGGCACAGATTATTACAATGTGTATTTTAATTTACAGAATGCTTATAGCGCTTGTCTTGGTGCTGCACCTATACTAGAACGTGATTGTGGCTGTGGGGCTGGTCTGGGGTATGGCGGTCTTGGATACCGTGTCTTTGGATACGGTGGTCTCAGATATGACAGTCTTGGTTGTGGTGAGGCGTATGGTGGTGAGGGTTTAGGTAATGTAGGTGTGGCTGGTGAAATGATGGTCGCAGGTACCACCGAGGTCGCTGGTCAAGTACCAATCAGGTGCTGTTGAGCTCGGTGATCGTGTGCCAGCAGGCGGCACTGTTACCATCACAGGAAGATGTGCCGGTGGTTGCGGATGCGGTGGTTACCGTCATTGATTTAATCCACCACCAAAAACCACCTATTAAACTAAATTTACTGTTTGTTTTGAAACTTTTAGAAAACTTTTATAAAATTTCATTCATATGTATTGTTTTCGAAATAAATATATTGAATTCTAAGATTATTGTCTTATTCTGGATCCTGAAGGAAGTATACATATTTTTTTTTTCGTGATTTTAATATCAGTGTCAAAATCAATATCAATCAATAACGAAAAAAAAATTAGAATCCAAACTGTAATTTACAACATAAACCTTAATAGAGGACAAAATATTAAAATAAACATTAAAAATTATGTTAACTCTTAGTACAACCTACTGGGTGACATATTTGGACTTAGAAGTCCTTCTGTGACCAATGCAATATTGCCATCACGAACCGTAGCCAACTTCGTTTGTCCTAAATCAAGCAGTAATTCTTAAATATTAACTGTACCCAGGCAAGGTAGCTGTCCACTTACAGCCATGGGCCCTACCATCACCAGTTTATATAATATAAAAGTGAAACGTTTCTCCCTTATGTTTAACTGTCATGCTGGAGTAAATACCAAAATCGCAGCTTTGGCACCCCTAGTATTAAAAGTGTAATTATTTGTTTATACTTCTTCACTTAAAAAAATCATGTCTTTGATCAGACTGTTACCCCAAATATGCACAGTAGGACGAATAATAGTTCAATAAAAGAGCAGAAAATTACTTGCAAATTATATAATTACATTTTGAAAACCTATTAGTGAAATTATCAATAAATTCCGCAACCACATCCACCGAAGGCTCGTCCAGCAATAGCGGGGCCGTAGCCGATTCCGGCAGCAAAACCTGGTCCGTAGCCCAAACCAGCGGCGGCGGGGTAGCCCCAAGCGGGACCAGCGATATCTTCGCTCACCATGGCCACGGCACCGTCGCCGCAGCCGTAGGAGAC